ATGGGTTTTATAGAAATGCATCTTCAAAACAGATCGTTATTTTGCGCTGCAGTTTCCCTCAGCTCTTTGCTCAGTTCCCAACCTTGATGCCAACAATTTAAACATTTTGTGCTCCTTAAATTTAATGTCCATAAAGCTGTTGTAATTATTAGTTTTCCTGGTCTGATACATGTAAAACCAGCCTTCCTGGAGGGAACACTGGTCTCCTGCATGCTGCTTTGAACACCAAGGTTTTAACAAAGGTCTGTTAGAGCTGTGTACAGTACAAGGTGGAGGAGCTGTCTCCTGTTTGACCTGGTTTTGACTGCAGACAGAATGTCTCACAGAAGGATGGAAAGATTTAACGTGCCCACAAGAGGAGAGCAAGAGCCCTAATGTGGGGGAGGGCGGGTGTTTGACCTCTCAGCTCCTCTTTGACCACTGTCTGACCTCTGTTCAAACACAAACCAACACCCCTCTGCTGCTTTTTTTGTCCCTAGCTTCTTTTCAGCCATGCTGTTTGGACATAAAAACACCCCTCCCTGCTCTTTCTCCCCCCTCCCTTTGTGCTGTCTGTTCTCTCCTCTTTAATCTTCCATCAACTTGTGTTTGAGGATTTCCTTCTCTCTGATCCACCTCCAGATTTCTTTAGCCCTTGTGGATCAGGAGGCACCTGTTTGTCTAATCTGATTACCGTGTTTTCCGGCCTATAAGTCGCATCAGTCCAAAAATGTCTAATAATTTGGAAAAATACATAAATAAGTCGCTTTGCCGTATAGGTTCCATCTATTACGTGTCACCGCTGACACGTCATGTTTGTTACGCATCAACGCTGACAATACGGAAATGTGGGCTGGTGTTGTGCCAAAAATCGATTGGCTGCCAAAAGACGGCCAAGGGAGCGTGCACGAGAGGACTTTAATAAGAACTTAACAAGATTAATACTTAAAAACAATTATTTGTTTGCTCAAAATTATAACAAAGGTGTGTCTCGGTTTAATTTTTGTTTCGTAAATGCACTTTGACAATCAAATCCGTTGTATTTCAAAACCTAATTTGCAGAAGCGGGAGCATGCAGAGGGACGAATCGCTGTGCATTTCTTTAAAATTTAACAAAATAACCACCTAAAAACAAATATTTGTTTGCTTGATTTTATAGTAAAAGTGTGTCTCAATTGAACGTTTACTAAATAAATGGACTTTAATGGGCAAATTAGCTGCATTTCACCCGGGGCGGTGCAGCGAAATGAAGCTGATTTGACAGTAGATCCAGCTGGATGAAGGTGGCAGGTTATGGCAAGCCGATTGTGTCATTAATAGCCACTTTTACCTATTACATGACACAACGGCATGCCATATATTTAGGGCCATCTAGCAGCTGAAAAAAGTAGTGTTAAATATTTTCAGTCAGAATAAATGAAAACTGTCATATCTTGGCCAAAAATTGGTTTATAAATATGGGAAAAAAAATTATAAATGTCATTTTGGCTTATAAGTCACAGGGTATGCAAATTAGGCAAAAACTTATAGGCCAGAAAATACGGTAGTTAAAACTCCACAGTCAAGCAGATTGTAGGTATCAAGGCTCCTGCTTCTGCTCACATTCTCTTTCTTTTCTTAAATCTTTATCTCATTTTTTTAAATAATAAGAACTAAAATCATTTGGGAATTAGTAAATTTAGCTATTTCAAGCATATTTCTATTTTTTGTTACTGATTTGCACTTGAAGAAACTACAATAAAGCTGAGAAAAAGCTGGACATTATTTATTTTTAAGCATGATTATTGGTTTTCTTATCACTTCTGTCTAGATTTGTGCAAAACTGCAACTGTTTCATAAAATTACAACTGAACAAACAACTGAAATCGAGTCCCTTTAGCCCGTCAGGTAGGATTTGGTCCAGTTATTTGTGAGCAGGGCCAGATTTTTTTCAGCAAGTTCTAGGAGAAATGGTCGCCTTAAAGGCACATTCTGCACCAGCGGAACCAGAACCATCAGGCCAGTAATGTTCAGAATCAAACCTGCTGGTTAGATGGTACGAAATATCACAGATGTGCAGCAGTGGTGATGCCATCAGGGCCTTTTTGTAATAAAAATAAAAAGTAGTCAGAGTGTTGTGACAGGCGGTTCCTGCAGCCGTTTGCTTCTTTGATCTCTCTTTGTCTTTTTAAAGCAAACACTGTGGTTTTATGAAATCTTTTATTGTGACGCAGTTTTTCTTCTAAACTTTCCATTTGGTCATTTAGTGCAGCTTATCTGTCCTGCCGAGAGAGAAAAAACATTCGGCATTTTGTTTGTCACAAAAAGATAGCTGTTAAGATAGTTCAAGAGCATCCTTCACATGTTTAAAGCATTTCTGAAGTGTTTGCGTCGTCTCGAATCCCTGCATGCTCTGCGTGGTGAACAAGCGTCATCTTCAAATCCAGATCAGCTCAAGGCTGCAGCAGAAGATATGTTAAACACGAGACCATCACATTTTCCTTGACGCTCAGCTATTTCCCAATGATTGTTTTTGTCCTTGTGCTCCTTTATTGCTTTGATTCTTGTGGCTGATGGGGTTGTAAAGGAGGGGGAAGCACTTCTGCTTGCACTGGTGTTCGTTATTGATGCAGTGAAGGCAGCAAATGACTCAGAGAAAAGGTGAAGATGTAAACGGGGAAATGAACTGGTGTGCAGGGCTGTTATCTGAAGTGGTGGTCGAGCACTTGGACGACATTGAGCATTAGAAAGCAGCAATAAGGGCAGCAGATAGATTTGTCTGAAAGTGGTGACCACATGTTGACCAGATAATAAAGCAAGATCAGAGAGAGAAGCTGATGACGGACTGGTGTGATGGAATGGGCACGCTGGGCAGAAAATGTGATCTATAGCCGAATCCTCAGAGTTTGAGCTGTCACTCTGTCATCATGGACGAACACAAAACCTCTCTGACCTTTTCTGGTTCTGGCTGGAGCCATGACTGTGGGTCAACGTCCCTTAGATGCTGCAGGAAGCTGCGTGACAGACAGAGGATGCTGGTCAGGGCTGTGACAGCCAGCGATTGTTCTCATCGTGTCAGTGTTAGGAGCAGACACACAACAGACTCTGCACTGACGACTGAAGCTTTATCTTGAATCGTTCACATTTAAATCTGAATATGAACAAGAATCGCTTTAAAGGAATCTTTTCAGGTGAGCAGAAAGACATTTATGTCTATTTGGGTCATGGAAACATCTGTCTCTTTAATATGAATGAACAACGAAACGGGATTGTAAATTAATTTGTAATTATTATAAAGGAACTTTAGTGTAACTGGTTCTCATTTAATCTAGATTTATCGTAACTTCCGCCATACTTGTTGCACCGCCGTATAAGTCGCATCAGTCCAAATATGTCTAGAAAAGTGGAAAAAATCCATAAATAAGTCGCTTTGCCGTATACGTCGCATCTATTATGCGTCACCACTGACGTGTCGTGTTTGTTACGTGTCACCGCTGACAACCCAGAAATGTGGGCCGGTGTTGTGCCAAAAATCGATAGGCTGTCAAATGGTGGCCGCGGGAGTGTGCACGGGAGGACTTTAATAAGACTTTAACAAGATTAACACTTAAAAACAATTATTTGTTTGCTCGAAATTATAGTAAATGTGTGTCTTAGTCTAACTTTTGCTTAATAAATGCACTTTAAATGCACAATTTCATTTTTTTCAAAGTGAATGTTAGTATCTCAGTAATCCAGTTAGTGGACTTAATTTCCTTGGAACCAAATTACAGCAGAGTCCATTTATTTGAGGGCAAACATTTGCAGAGTTTTCTCTCAGAGGCGTCATGAACCTTCTGAGAAGCTTTAGTTTGCCGTCAGGCTCATCATGCTACTGCGTTCAGCAGCGTGTCTGAAATCAAAATGTCTTGTATGATTCAAAGTTTGTTTTCTCAGTCATCCAGGTATATAACAACAAAAAAGGTTGAATCATGTCATCTGGACTTCGTTTTTTTTGTTAAAAAGAAACGTTTCGCCCCTCATCCAAGAGGCTTCGTCAGTCTGAGGCCTAGCCATCTGGTATTACCCAGAAGCCACCCTGACTCTTGTGTTTCAAGCCTGCCTCAGATACCCCTGAAGTCTGGCCTTTTCACTAATGGTTTCAAAAACACAA